TCATATCCCACGGAGCAAAGAAGAGATTTTTTTTCACCTATTCAAAAATCTGGGGTGCAATCAGCGCTACTGCTCGTTGGATTCCTCTGCTCAAGCTGAAAGATGGCGTCATGGGAAACCAGCATCCTAGAAAGTTGTTCAGAAACTGTAAGTAGTAATCCTGAAGATATTCTGAACTTTTATTACCAAAGCCATATGAGTAACTAGTCAGAGTACTCAATGGATATAGAAAGCATATGTATGTTACCTCCAGATGAGAAAACAAATATATCCAGAACAAATCACCTTCAACTTCTTTATCAAAATAACAACTGGGACAAGATGACAAACTTAAGACGAACTGTTATCAATTACTAATCAGCAACATTTCAAGAGCTGTCTGAACAGCTCAAGAGCACACTGAAACTAGCCAGCTGCAATGCTAATGAATAGTATCATGGGACCTAAGCCTACCAGGTTATAATCCACAACCACAGAGTAAAAGTAAAGTCATGAGATGATTCCTTACTCTGGCAGAATTTGCAGCTGCAAAGTCGATTCCAATAACATTGAAAACTTAAGACACACTTGTGTGGTTCTCAAATGATTGATCGATCTGTTGTTCTAAGGCACACGCTCCTTAAAACGGATAGCTGCTACTAGGTGAGAAAATCACAACTCAATCTAAATACAAGTTTGAGCAAACAATCGAATCATGCTTTGGCTGTTACCACTTACCACAACGTTCTTTCCAGCAACTAAGTTAGCAACCCACTGTAAGGAATTTGAGCATTCAACCCTCTCAAGTCTCACCTTGTTGATTAAACCTTCCACCTTATCCAACACTTTTGCGCATGAACAGAAAGTGCAGACAGCTGGTGCCATGCATACAATAAAGAAGGGCTTATGAAAGTTCTCAAGTATTTGCAAAAACTTCTCAAAATCAGGCAATAGGAAAATATAGTGAATGCAACTTTGGTTTGAAGATATTATTTCTCGGCAGTCAGAATCACAATGAATTTTCTAAAGGAAGGCATTTGATTCTGAGGATCGAGTTTATCCCTGCAGCAGGTGTTCCAAGCCATGTTATACAAAGATTTGATTGCATATGAATGACACTAGGAAAGTCAACATATAGGGTTCTCGTACGCATGTTTCTTCGTTCTCGGTCTATATGAGATGGACTAGTACTTCTGACCCTAAAAGCAAAATAGGTTTCGCTCAAGAAACAGGTCAAGTCTATGGATCAGCCTGTATCAGTACCCTAATGTGATCACTGCAACAAATTAACCCTTTCCTACAGCCACAGTGAAAGAAAAACTGGGATGTAAGATTGTCCATCCTATATCACACTCATATGCAGCAGCACAGAGCAGTGATCCTACTAAATTGAACCACAGTTTCACCATCAGCAAACAGCTTTCCAGAATCATTCAACTTGGTTCCTAAAACAACTCAGCTAAACTATGCCTAAACCAGCAGTTCGTATTCCAGACCTGAAGTGCATGTGAAACTTAAACATTTTGAAGACCTTAGGCTGCAGCCCACTAACAACTGCACACTATAGCACCAGCAAAGAACATTAGCACGCCCTAATCATTACCAGCTACGTGTTACGCATATAGTTGATACTTGATACTCGTCATAATTGATAGAGAAAGACATAGGCATATTATGAAACTCAATGAATTCAATGGGTAACTAATATTAATATCTTGATGAAAAGCTTCGAAATGTATACAGGAAAAGAAAAACCTCCCTTTCTAAGCCAGAAAGTCACATCTCTACAAATGAAATCAACTGGCACCAACAGGATTTTTTATGACGGTAACAGCTCTAACCCATATAAGACATTGGCGTACTTCTCCATAGCTCCATCCTCCCAATCGTTGAAGTACTTCTCCCTCATTTTCTGAAATGCATGGAGTGTAGCCAAACTATCCGAGCCGGCTTGGTGACTCTTCCCAGTGACCCTCTCCACACCCAAAGTCTTACACGTCCTGTCCAGACCTCCAAACAAATTCGCCACAAACCTCATAAGATGCTTAATGTCATAGACCTTATCGCCGAAGAACATCCTCACTATGTCCAGAAACTCGGTTAACCTGTCCGGCAATGGACGCTGGGTCAAACACTTGACCAAGTAGCCGAAATCGTAAGCGCTGTGGAAAGTGACCCAACTGACCGAGTCGTTCAAGACCAGGCCCGAAGACATCATCAGCTCGGCGAATTTCACTGCCTCGATACCGTCCTTGGTGTTCTTCTCAAAGTCGATCCCTTGCCTCCTCAAGAGATCGACGGAGTCGTGAGCGTGCGAGTCGCGCGTCACGTCGAAATCCCTAAAATTGAATTCCCAAATAAAGCAAGTAGTCCCGGTGCCGAGATCCGGCAGATTGCCGTCACGATCAGCGATCGTGAGCCCTACCTGGATCAGTTTGAGCATGTCGACGTTGGCCTTGAGGCTCAAGTAGCGCCCCGTCGGATCCTGAAGCCGGTTCCCTTGCTCCTCCCCCTGCGGCCGCATCACCACGCCGGGGAACTCCGTGTCCATCGAAATCAGCGGGTAATCGTCGACGACGGCGCGGATCAGAGCAAACTCCGACTCCAGATTGTCGGCCCACACCGATCGGATCGCGACCGGCCGGGGAGACGAAGCCAGGACCGGTCTCGGTGGAGGAGGAAGAGGCGGCGGTGGCGAGGACAGGGATTCGTCATCGGCGACGTCGGACATGATTTAGAGACGTAGGAGAGGATCGGCGCTAAAATACAACGCATCCAAATCCGGATGATGGACGGCCGACTGGTTCGAGATTTTTTTTTCTTTTTCTTCTTCCTTTGGGGTTTTTCCGGCCAGGGAAGGGAAAACTGAGAGAGGCGGAGAGCGGAGGAGGAGGAGGAGGAGGTTGGAAGGGCGCGGTGGGCGGGGACTTTTATAGTCAAAGAGAAACGGCAAAGGGGGAAGAAGAAGGAAGGGCAACAAACGTGGGGTTCTTCGTCCATAGGGCGGTTCCATTGGGCAACTTTTTAGTTTTTTTTTTTTTTTTTCCCCTTCTCCCTTTCTTTTCCCTATTGGAATTAATTAATTACATTATAGTTTCCTAAACAGGAATTCAGTGTTCTTAAACGGAATTCCAATAAACTTCAGAGATTAAATCGTGTATTTTACAAGAGATAGGGATAATTGTAGCATAACGTCTTAACTCTTCACAAATGGCATTTTTAGTCCTTGTACTGTGTAAATTTTGCCCATACGTTTTTGTATATATGGAATTTTAACCAGATAAAAAATCGTCTCCACCAACTAAGATCTGATTAGTATAGTTTCACCTTTAAAAACATTAGTAGACCATTGGTTAGTCCATTGGTCCGATCTAATTTAATTTTATTTGTTACAAAGTTGTCTACTAATTCAGTCCATTGGTCTGATCAAGTAAGTAAGTAAGTTAAAGTAAAGAAGACCTAGAAATTTCTCGATTTGATGCATGAACGTGAGTCCAAAATGACCGGCTTCTGCTTCTTCTTTTTTTTTTTGTGTATTAAAAGCTGTGAACCGTAGTGATATTCCATTTTAGTGTAGGTAGAAGCCAAGAACATTGGGTTCTCTTATCCATATTTATGCTATTTTTCAGAATAATTAGATATATTAACGAGTGGGTAGAGGCGTAGATCTATTGTTAATATAATATATTAATTTTTAAAATATGGTCGAAATGGGGTAGTGAGGAAAATATTGTCACTACTTAAATCGGATGCCATGACAACTATCATAGACTAATACAAACGTGGAGTGGAGATAACTACGGGAAATCAGGGTGGAGCCTCGCAGTATACAACTACTGTTTGATATTTGAGTCCGATTAGTTGGTGTATAGAAATTTGTTTTTTAACATAATTTGGTTTGTGTCTCACCGAAATAGTTTTCACATTAAAATGAATATTATTGTGTGGATCACATAGAATATGAATTTTTGGTTGTTTGGCACATAATATATAAATTTGGAGTTGGACCGAAATAATTACTGATAGATAAGAAGTAGGGGATATAGAAGATGCCCTTCCTGACGCAATACAGATCTTCAAGAAGATGCCCTTCCAGCCGTCTTCTCCCGCCAAGCACATCCTGTCGTGCTCTGACGGAGGAAGGAGAAGAACAACGTAAAGGCAGGCAATAACGGAGGGGAAGATAACAAGAGCGAGGAGCAATTTGGATTCTCGAAAGAGATCAAGAGCAGGTTCGAGGTTGGGGAAGAAGAGGGGGGGGGGGGGAATTTGGGTATGCTTGTTCCGGTCAGGAAGGGTGATCGTTTAGGATTTTCATTTGAGGGGTCGGTTCATGGGTTGGGTTGACAAGATGATGTGGCGGGTTATTGTGATGTGGCGGGTCGAGTTTGACAATTTCCGGATTAAATACGGCTGACTAGACGATTATGTCTGCCACTTCAGCACGTAACAGCCTCTGTTAACGAAGATGGACGACGACGAATGAAGAGTGACCAAACATGAACGTTTTTAATAAAACCAGTAACCACTAACGAAATTAAATATTTCGAGTGATTAAACATAAACATTTTTAGTAAACTCAGTGACCGAACTTACAATAAACTTCTTTCCATTGATAAACAAGTTGATGATACCATCAAGCAAACTAGTCTTAAAAAACATAACGGATCGACCTCTAATCTCTATACCACATTCTCGCAGGATGGGACGTATTTGATGCCTATTTCAGGCCGCAGATCTCCACCCCACTCCCTGAAAGCAAAACAAGCGGCTACGACGTGCAGCAGCCACCAACTTGCCCCGACTAAAAAGGCAACTAATACAGTCCAATCCATGTGGTCAAAAGAAAAGGACTTGTTCATAACATAATCAATCACCCTGACATCAAGCTTTGACATTTCCAAGTCCTATCAACAAGATTCACGTGAGATTAACATGGCTATTAATCAAAGTTCATCCCTCATGACAGATCCCTAAAAACAAACTTACCTGCAGAAGGTTGAGTCATGCAGCTTGCTGCTGCTGCTTTGGTAGTAGTAGTAGTAACTAATGAGAAGGGACAGAAGCATTCACGGTATTGGAAAATGACCAAGAGGCAATATATAAAATGTAAGACTTTTGACTACCCTTATGATGGTTGATTGATGACACACATAAAAATTATCCCATTAATCAAACAGCAGCATTCCTTCTTCGGGACATATCACATTCAACAGAAAATAAGGCAACCAACCAAATGACATAGAGAGACAGAGAGAGACCCAGACCAACTGGAGAAGTAAGGCTTTTTTCTTCAAGGAGGGGGCATTCACTTTGTATGTCCCAGAAACCTCAACCCAGTTCCCACCATTACAAACTTCTATATATGCCCGGGATTGCCACCGGGCAATGGATATGTTCCTCCTCCAGTAGCCTCCACCGCCACCTTCCTTCTTCATGGCTAGAAGTAGGTTCCCTCTGGAGGTTGTACAAGCTTCCGGTTGTGTGGGGCTGCCATCTCCTTCTTCAGCTGTGTCAGTATGTCTTCCATTGTGTACTCTCTTTGCCAATTCCCCAGCGGCCCAAACTTCTTCGGTTCCACCTGCCACCATTTCGGTAGTAAGCTAGTCATGTTGCAGATTAACACAGAGCCATGGATAGACCAAGGTTATATCTATTCTTGCTCCCAAAATTAAATAGCATCACGAGTATGTGAGTCAACAACTCGAATCATGAGACTAAGAGAATCAAAACAAATTGTCAATTTGAAGAATCGGAATCATACCACTCCAGTTTCATGATTCACACAAGTCATGTTGACTCGTGAATGGAAACGAACACTTGGTGGCTTCTCAGGGTAATCTTTGTCACAGAACAGCTTCAATTGATAAATCCGGCCTTCATGTACAGTCTGGGACAATAAAAGAAGAAATATTTTATGCAATAAACGAAGGTTGTTAAAAATTGAAATGCAACATAACAACCAGTAGAACGTTTGCATGCAGTGAAGATCCTTGCATACAAAAGGAATTTACATTCTAAGTTTTTTCTGCCATGTATATTTGAAAGTGTATATCTATGCATTTAATCTCCACAAGGCTAGAATCCAATGAGGATCTGGTCCCAATCTTATATCCTCATCCTTTATTTAGAAATCCTTCTTGGAGGAAACGATCTTCACTTAAAACAGAATGTATACGAACACAAACTTAATTTGTCATATCCATACAGTTAGTGCTCCACAACTAAAGAAATAGGGACAATTCCACGAACTCCATGAAGCTTACAACTAGCAACTTTAACAAGCCTAACCAGACTCCTTAAGAAAACAAAAGGTGAACGAGCTATGGCATGCACAGTACCAAAACATCAGAATGGGCCAAGGCTAAAGATAAATCAAAATCGCAGCAGACAATGTTATATAGAAACAACCAATCAAGTAGCGTGCAGAAGAAAGGAAACAAGAGAATCATAGCATCTAAGAAAAATATCAATCTCAAGTCCTACTGGGATCAAGAAGAAGAAAGAGGGACAGTGAATGCAATGTTGGGGGTAAGAAGTGAAGCCAAAACGTCAACCGATTGGGGCTAGAGAGTTTTTCAAAAGGTAATAGCAAAGATCCTACTCTAAACAGGCTGCATGACGACAGAAAGCATACCATTTCATCATGTTCATAGCTCTAACAACCAAAAGAGTCAAATAATGCATTACATTGTGAGGACCAATTATCGTGCCGGTCCAAGAGCGCATGTAAATGTCATCTCCATCATCCATTCCATAGCTTACAGTGCCATCTCCAATTCCCTTCTCCCCACGTTCAAGCTCTTCCAGCAGTCTGAAGTTCCTAGGGACTGCAACCATCAGTCAAATGGCAGTCACAAACCACAGCAAACATTGGGAGTCAGAAACAAATAGGCATAAGATGCAAGAGAATAATATAAACAGAAAAGACTGGAGCAAAATGGTTAGCTTCCAAAGCGATAACATTTGCTACACTTTCACATGGGCCAAAGAAACACTAGTACAAGTAACAAAAGCTAATCCCTTTAGCATAAAGCTCCATGGCTATTGATGATAACATGCACCAAATTCTCAGTGTGATCATAGTCATTCAGCAATGAACATAACAATTTCAGTGAGATTTCCACCCAATTCAGAGTATAAGCAGATCAGACACAAACAAAACTTGTTTCTGAGGTGTATCATAGCATTATTACTCCTCTAAGAACAAGAAGAGTTGCTAAAGACCTCCACTACAGAGAACAAGACTTACAAAACAAGAGTAATGATCCCAAAAGCAAACAAAAGACCCGAAAACATAATCAGAAACAGCTTAAGGAGAGTCAATGACTGACATGCCGTTGAACTAAAAAAAGATTTCTTTTTCTCTTTTTGGCTGTAAGCTGTTCATCAGCTCACTTTCAGAAGATTGCCAGACGAAGTACAGGAATGAGAAATAAGGGGAAACCCACAAAAATTCATAATCGAAAAACCCCAGAAAAAATAAAATTCCCAAATCAACCGAAGGAAACAGACAAACGTAGGAACACAAAATTGCAAACCCGCGTCAGGCAAGCAATAAAAAGGCGTAAATAGATCGACCCATCAGCAGATACGAAGGGAAAAGCGAGGAAAGATTAGCAAAAAAAATCACGAGAGAGGAGGGAAACAGAAGACGTTAAGGGACGAACCCACGACACTCGATCCTCCTGAGCCAAGCGTCATGGGTGAATCGAGAGTGTTGAAATTCGGGGGCAGCAGCGGCCGGCCGGGTGAGATCTGATCGACGTGAAAAACTGAGAACTGCAGCGGGCGAGGAGGAGGATGGAGGAGGTCAGAGATGAAAGAAAATCTAAGAAAGAAAGGGAAGGTTGAGACTTGTGAGAGGCCAAGTCGGGAATAAAGAAGAGGGCAATTTTGGGATATAGGTTTACAGAAACGAATATAATATTTATTTTATTTTATTACAAAGAAAAATAAAAGAGGAATTTATACTCTTGTGGGCTGTGGCCGGCGAAAAAAATAAAAGATATGTTTGCAAATTGCAGTGATGATTGAAAATGGTATGGACGGCTAGGATTATTTTGTTTTCCAGAATAAAGTAATCGAACCGCTGCTGTGTACTGATGGGTCTCCCTTTGGTCTTTGTTATGACTTGTGTTGTGCCGCTTGTCGTAAAAAGTGCATTTTGATGACAGACACCGCCACACCGGGTCCAGCAGTTTAAGCCTTATAAGGGTGGCACAGTACGAGTACTAAATTTTTGGCCGGTTCGTTATGAACACGAATACTTTATGTATCGAATTCGAATCGGATCTAAATTTTATAGATACGTGAATGTTATGGTCTATAAGTGAATAATATTTGTTGGAAGTGATTAATACATAAGTCCAAGTCCACTTAACATGGCATTGGTGAGAGAGTGAGTCCAAGAAGAACAAACCACATCATACTTATTTTGGATTGGGCAAGGAGAGAAACCCTACTTTGGAGGCGCACGACGACAAAATAGTTGTCCGCCAAATTAGTACGGGTACTGACAATCTAGTGTATGCGCCTCTCTAAGATGTGTGATTAAGAGTGTTGGTCAAGGCACTTGCCGGTTTAAGGAAACAATTGGAAACGCTGTTCAAAATCATGCAAAAAGAAGGGGGGTCGTTGAGGGAGTTTTGTGAGAGGTGGGTTCTAGTGGCTATTACAGTAAAAGACGTTCAGCCTCCCGTGTTGGGTTGTTGTTTGGAAGAGTGAACCACGAGTGAGGAGCTCTAACGGACACTCTCCAAAAGAGATGTTAAGTCGAGTGATGATTTGGTTAAGAGAGCACAAAAGGTCATAGTGTTGGAGCAAAAGCTGGCTTCAAGGAGGGTCCATAGCAAAAAAATAAACTAGATGAAGGGGAGTCGTCGAGGACAATGCGCCCCGAAACTGGTTTGTGTCAGCTTCCAATAAGGTGCCTAGAGGCACAGAAACCCATGAGTCACGGAGCTCAAACTTTCACTAAACTCAATGATGCGCTAAAAAATGTCATTGCTTATGTGAAGGATAAGGGATACCGCATAAGGTGGCCTATACCGATGCACGAACAGTCTAACAAGCGCAACATTCATAGGTACTGTGTGTTTCACAGAGAAAAAAGACACCACACGACTGACTACTATCAATTGAAATATGAGATTCAAGGCCTAGTAGAAAGAGGAATGTTAAACGAGATCGTGAAAAGGAATGAAGATAAAGTGCATCACGAGTACGCTATCCAAGAGGGCCACCCAATGGGTGTATTGGACCAAGTGAACCTCCCCCTCCACATTTCGCCATTAATCAGGCTCGCAGGCCAGGGTGCACCCGACTACGTACCGTAGAGGTTATCACCGGAATGCAGGATTTGAGAAGGAGATTGGAAGAAGTGCAGACTTAAGAATGCACTGTCTGGGGTGAGGGAAGCCGTGCAAATCAGTTTTAATAGAGTTCCCAAAGAGGCATGTAGACTTTCTTCTACAGAGGCGCTTTAGATACAAGGTTTGGTCACACGGTGTCTAGTTAAATGGATGTTAGTTGATATAAAAGCTCAATGAACGTCCTTTTCCGAAACACGTTTTATAGGATGCAGGTGGCGCCTGAACTTATTGAACCATCTAACTCGGTCTTGATAGGGTTCTCAGGGGCACCATCCCGAGTGATGGGGCGCATACGCGTCTGTGACACTCGGAGATGATGAACATAGAGTTACGTAATCCGTGAAATTTGGGATCGTGGAAGAATCACTCATAATCATGGTTGTGATTAGCGACGGCGCAGATGCCCGTTGCGGCCAAACAAGACCTGAAAGTTTATAAATAATGCTTAACCACTTTTCTCGCTCTTTCCTCTCTATACTTTCTCTCTCTTCTTTGTCAAGTAGCTCAAAAAATCAAATCGTGTATATTACCATGATATATATTTCATTGTAAATTTCATTTTGTAGAGTACATTTATTTGGATTTTTATGAAAAAAATGAGAAATCAAAGGACAACCTTTTTTCATATTATATCATACCAACAATGTAACGATTTTCAGTACTACTATAAATATGTGTACTAATGCACTCATATATTTATATATTAAACAATTAAAAAAATTGTGTGTACTGCATTAGTTGTTGATAATATTATAAAGTAAAAATGTCAACTTGCTACGTAAAATACATTATTACTGTCACGTATTTATGTGACATGTTTGTACACCAAAAATTTACTAAAATGCACATGCATAGTTTAGTCATGTTTCACCATAATACACGATAATTTCTACACTATACAAAATTACTATGAAAAAATTTGTAGAGTATATTTATTTGATATTCTTATGAAAAATATTAAATTCGAGTTGAAATGAATAACATATAGTCCGTTAAAATTAATGTGGGAGTGAATATGCATTTGTTTTTAATTTTAGAGTTATGCACCTAAAATGTTCCACACAAGTTTCACATCAATTATTTTTTGTTCTTCAAAAAATTGAAGTCATTCATTTACCTTTTTCACATTTCAACTTTGCTCAAGTCAGCACGATTCGCAAAATTCTCTTGACTTTTCCACCTTATTTTCTCCCACAAACGTAACTGACTTTTTGCAGACATTTGTATGCATGCTCAACTCAAGCCTCTAACATTCATAAATACGTTAAAATTACATCACTCTCCGCATTTTGCTTCTGTTTCATTGTTGGTCCGTAAATATTCATTTTGGCTTCACTCAAGCCGCCTTTGTTTCTATTTCCTTCACCATTCCTATTTAGGTTTACACAATCTCTCATCTCCAATTAAATTTAAATAGTAAATCTTTATTTTATAATAAAAAATATCAATTACTCTATGCTAGCCATCAACTAATTCATATAAGTAGTTTGTTAGAATGTCTATGAGAGAACTCAATTGCATGATGCAAAGATAAAAATTAATTATTTGTATTTCTAATGATGATGAATAGTAAACTATAATAAGGAACATTATAGTTGTCACCACTACTATTTTCTTTGGATCGTTAGTTATTGGATTAACATTGCATGGTAATTAGGGTTGGTAAACGGTCGGTAATCTGTTAAACCGATTACTGGTATATCGGTTATCACCACACTCCCAATGTTTGCCGATACCGAATAAGATTCGTTAAACCGGTTACCGAATGGTACGGTTACCGGTTGTGAGTCGGTTTCCCGTTTACCGCAAAGAGGCGAGAGGCAATGACAATGTTGCGGCCTGAGGACGGTGATTCGTGAAAGGAAGGGCCGGTTGGTCTGCTTCACACCAATTCACCGATTGATTTTCTGAATACATTATTCCACAACATCACAAACATAAACAAGACCAGGATCATTCTATCTAAAATTCATTATTCACAATTAGACTTTCAATTCAAAAATTGCGATGATGATCGATGAATAGAATAGTTGCTTCGGAAAGGGAAGAAACCCTCTCCTCCTAACATGCAAATCCCAAAAAAAATTCCAATGAATAAAACAGCTGTTTCGGAAAGGAAACAAATCCTCCCCTCGTGCAACCCCATCACGAAAAAAGTGGAGAAGTACGATGAAATCCATCCAACATTTACAATCGCAGATCGAGTTGGTGTTGTTGCTGCTCTACGATGGGGGTTTTGACCAGCGGCGCCCCTCTCTAGTTGGGTGGACCATCTTCATCGTTCCTCTGGGGGCAAATATGGAATCGAAAAGGAGAGAACCATCAAGCGAGGAGACTGCATGGCATTAGGGGTGTACATGGGTCGGGTGGTTCGGGTTTAGGCATTTTAATCACCCGACCCATGCACTACGGTTTGGGAAATATTAAACCCAAACCCACCAAAAAAAATCTAAACCCTACGGTTTGTTTCTAATTGGGTTGGGCCGGGTTGGTGATATTTTTAAGTAAAAACCCAACCCAACACAAAATATGTAATTATTCTACATCATAAAAACATTTTATAACAAATTAAAAATTCAAACGAATAGACCGATGTGAAAGGTATCAAAATTCACAAATGTTGTTTGAATTTTAATAAAACTTGATTTACTTCAACTTATGTCTAGTTTTTTTTCACGACATTTATTGAAATAGGCTAAAAAGGTTACAAATGTACGCATCCATAATATGATATTCTTTTACAATTGTACACAAGAAAAAGAATTACGTGAATCATAGCTATATTAAATCTATGTCTAAACTTTAAGTCGAAGAATGCATTAGATTAGTGAGAGCTTAAGAGAAAAACATGGCGAAATATCTTAATTTTCTCATAAGTATGGCTATATACAACATAAATATTTTTTGGATACGAACTCATACCTATAATTGGAACACGGGTTGGGTCGGGTTCTACGGGTTGTGTAATCCAAAATCCAAACCCAACCCAAAAGAAGCGGGTTGTACAAAAGAAAACCCTCACCCAACCCAAAACCTTCAATTTAGCGATAAATACGGGTGGATTGGGTTGGGTTGGACGGGTGGGTCGGTTTGCGGGTGTATTTGTTCACCCCTACATGGCATCGGATCTGGAGATTTCGTGACCCAGGTCGAAGATGAAGAAGAAGGGACACCCGCCGCATATGGCGTCAGATCTAGAGATAATTCCCTCACTGCCGCCAGACCCATAAGCGATTATGACGATTTCTTGCGAGGATTGGCCGGTGGAGACGATGATACAACCATATTTTTTCAATCGCCTCCGCCAAACCCCTCGACTGTACTTCTCGTTGCCCCACTGCGTAACTAGGGAAGAAGAATTCGCAAGACCCGGATAAAGGCGGGGGAAATTAAGGATGGGGAGGAGAAAAGAGAAGAGAAGTAGAGAAGCGAAGGAAGGCGATGACTGGTGTGAAGAGATAAGAGGAGAGAAGAAAGAGTTTGCGAATTGAGACATCAGGGGAAGGGCTCTCCTTGTCTATCTATACTATATATAAAGCATATTCATGGGTTGAATTTTCTCCATTTCAAATTTTGAGCGACCAAAGTGAAAGTAGGAAGGATATTTTTGTCTTCACAATTAGTTATTTATTTTTTATAAAAATATATCAACACCAAGATTTGTAGAATTTGATGATGCGGAAATACAAAAGAACACAGAACACAATATTTTACGTGGTATCCTCGATCGATTGATTGATCGAGACTAATCCACGGTGAGCTCGGAACGAGCTTGAACCATGATCTGCTTTCAAGAACGGGCGGTACGTGGTACAGAGCAAACTCGGTTGGGGCCATTTCTCCACTGTTTGGCTCGGTTGGGACACTCAGAAATCGGTAAAAGCTCTTTGCTTACGTTTGATCGAAAGATAGTTGATTGAGTGATGGTCTGATTTATGGGGTTTTGCTGGTTTCGCGGGTGTTAGAAGTTTTCCCGGGAGCCGACTGTTCTGCATTTGGGTTGAATATACTTGTTGCTTTGTTCCTTGGTTTCAGGGTTTTAACATGCTTATGAGGTGGAGAACTTCCCATTAGTTATGGTCTTATGGATGTAATGTGTTTGTTCTCTGCAACTTGTAGCGGTATATATAATATCAATAGAGCGTAGAGGGTATTGGATTTCATTGCTCTTCTCTCCTTAATTGGTCCAACTAAGTATTGACTCATGTATGACTGTTCTTTGATCCTATTGTTGCAGCGATATGTAGCCCTCAAAGTTCAAAAGAGTGCTCAGCACTACAGTGAATCTGCCATGGATGAGATAACCATCTTACAACAGGTAGCAGAAGGAGACCCAGAGGATCAGAAATGTGTGGTGAAGCTCTTGGATCATTTCAAACATTCAGGTCCGAATGGACAACATGTCTGTATGGTACTATTCGAGTATCTAGGGGATAACCTTTTGACTCTTATAAAGTACAGTAGTGATTATCGTGGATTGCCCATTCATAGGGTCAAGGAGATATGCATCAACATTCTGCAGGGTTTGTATCACTTGCAAATCTGGTATTTGACGTGTGGTATTTGGTCAAAGCATAGTGGTAAAAGGAGTTATTTCAAAATAACTCATTGCCCTAAATCCTAATAACTTCGGTAAACTATTGCCAAACGAGTTATCTGTAAAATTGTTCGAATTACCCTAAAAATTGAACCATTAAAGATTAACTATCAAATTTAGTAAAATTGTTGTGACTTCAATCATAACGTACTCAATAACATATATCCTTTACACTTAGCCTTACTTTCAATCGACAATATTAAGTTAATATATGTTGTTGATCGTATACCCTAAACCATCAATATATTATACATTAACAACATACCCTATACCCTAACCATATATCCCTATGAGTTGTGATTTTGCTAGTATAGTTAATTCAAAGCGAAATTCATACTTTAATTTTCAAAACACAGATAAAAAAGGGATATTTTCTATACCCTAACCATATATCCTATACTCTACACCATATACCCTATACCCTAACCACGTACCATAAACATAAATTAAAAAGGTATCTCCTGCCGTTAAATATTTTAAATGATTTCAAGTGAACATCTACACAATAAATAAAAGCCAAATGAAAAAACTTGAAGCCCCATTTCAAATTTCCTGCATCCATAGTGAAAGTAGGAAGGACATTTTGGTCTTCACAATTACTCTTTTTATTCATTAAAAAGACACTTACTAGGATTCGAACGATAACCACTTTCAAGAAAAGCAAAGATCATAACCATTCACACTAAGTACATTTGTTGTATCTTTTTAAATTAAAAACATATAATCGCAGTGAGGAAAAAACATTTCCCCCATTTCAAATTTCCTGCTCGATGAGCGTTTGTAGGAAGGGTAGAATAGAGAGTGTCAATTTTTTCCTTTTTTCTCTGTGGAACGGGCCAACTTACCGTACACAAGCGTTTGCAGTCATCTCTTTTCTTTCATTATTTTATATTTTCAAATAGAAAGTTTAAAAGTAAAGAATAATTAAAGTTTGGCATGAGTCTGTCAAACATGATGAATTTCAAGTTTTGGCCCGTTTTGATCAAGTCTAATTTATAATCACATGGTTCCCTAATACCCGATAAAAATCTCAATACAAACCAGTTTGGCAGGTGAGTCCGTGTTTACCACCATTTTCTAGGGGTACAAGAACGGTGGTTCCTATCCTAAATCGTGTTGTTCATTCTTGATTTCTTTAGATTTTATCATGGCTTGGCCAAAAACCAGAAAGCACAATGATGACAAGATGAAAGTTTTATAAAGCAAATTAATTGGCCTACGGGCCGAGTAAAAGCTAACAACGATTGTGAGATGCTCATTTCTCGAAAACCGGCGGGATAGGCAATTTTTTATTCGATTTTCTGGAATTCGGTTTCTATAAAACTTACTCCACCTCATCATATTACCAGAAACAATATTGTTTCACAAGGTAACAGGTACTTGATTTTGGTTCATAAGGCTGATTTTTTATTCGTTGCATCATTCATGTCTCTTTCCTACTAAAATTCACTACTTTTATGACGTCTTTCCCCCCCCAAAAAAAAGCTATACACCCCATTACATTATCAAATTTCATACCTCACCTTCCTCCGGCCAAATGGCCGGGGCCCACGCTAGTATGTTAATAAAAAACTTAAACCGTCAAAACCATCAATACATTATACCCTAACCATATACACCATAAACCATCTGTACCTTATACCCTATACCCTAACCATATACTTTATACCATAAACAACGAACCGTCGAAAATTACTTATTAAGTTTAGTATAATTGTTGACTCATATTCACCCGCCCATAAATTTTCCATTCCAAAGTTCCCATCCAAACCTCTCTCTCATTTTCCATTCCAAAGTGACCCGCAACCCGATTAAACATAATTGTCAAACCCGCAACTCGACTGAGTTATTGCAATCGTAAGACTTAACATGCCAAGTTTAATGTAACACCCCATTTTCAGGTTAGGGTTCGATAAAGGTTCGACCGAATTTTTGAATCGACGGTTACGTACAAAGAGTTACAACCAAAGATTAGGGATAATAATAATAATAATAATTATACTATTATTATTATTATTCATTAAACTAAAACCCTAAACACCCAGACCGCCTTTCCTTCTTTAGTTTGCTGCCGCCCGTACAAAGAGAAAAGCTCTCCCAAAAGGAAACCCAGACGCAACCGCAGAGGAAGCAGAAAGCAGTCAGAGACGGGGAAATCCATCAGATCGAAGCGGGAGAAGAGGTTGAGAGCCATTAGAAGGGACATAATTCAACCCCTCTCCATCGACCCAAAAAGGAAAATACGCCGCCCAACTTTTTCCTCTAGGTCGATCTCTGTACCTCTCCGGCCAGCTCTTCATCGCGGTACCACAATTATGGATGATCACCATCGTCTCAATGCCATGTGCAGGGGATTTTAATTGGAGAAAACTAGGATAAGGGGATATGATTTCCAATTATACTAGGGGTAAAGGATGGTGGACGAGTGCAAGGGAATTCAGATGAGCTAATGCAATTATTAGTGCATGGGTTACTTTGTTTCAAGGAAGTAGGTAGGTTGGCACGACCGTATGCGAGCAGCAGCTGTTAGCAAGGCACGGGAGGAGATAATTCACACAAGAAGAGGATGTGGTATCCCAGGTTTCTGGTTTGGATTCAGGCCATGATGAGATGTCACTCGTAAGGTGAGTGTAAAGGGGGTAAATTCTATGCCTTACGGTTTTTCAAGTATTTGCTTTGAGTATTTTTAAGTATTGATTTATGTGATGTGCGCAGTGGCGGATACATGCATGTTTAGGGGTGTCCTGGGACACCCCTAAAATTTGGAAACACGATTATTCAACCATCGATAGTAGTTTGCGTATAAGCACAAAAATGTTTAAATGGTAGTGGGACATCCTTAAAATTTGAGAAAATGCTTATCCGACTTCCCGTAGTAGTTTGCGTATTGGTACAAATAATATTTAAGTAATAGTCTATGTGATTTAAATTTGGGACACTGCCTTTATTAGTAAACCTATTTTCAATTACACTACAACTCATTTGTCATTGTGTTTTAGATCCAAATATAATAGTAAAATGCTAATTTTATTTTTCGAAACTTAGCAATCAACCCAATTACCGGATACCCTTGTCTAATATGATATGTCGAGAGATATTTGTTGAGCAGTATAGACACCGGATGTATTTTACCATTTTACGAAACACGTATGAGCTTTTTAATGTAACTTTTATTATTTAGATATTTTCATATTTAATAATTATTTAATTAAATTAAATTTTTGGGAGAGGACACCCCTATGTAAAATTCCTAGATCCGCCACTGGATGTGCGTGCAGTATTTGATTCATGTTTGATATTTCATGATTATGTTTGATGATATGTGCGATGGTTGAGCTATGATTTGAAGTGAATTGTGGATGAGTTATTTCTTACTTGAAGCTTGATGTCTATGAGTTAGTGTTAAAGTTTAAGAAACAAGTTCTTTTTAAAGAAGTAACTCACCTTCAAGAAGGTGAAGTCGTTTTAAGTGTTTTTAGTCACTAGCGTCAGTCCGTTGCCTTTGGAGACATTTTGAGATAGAGCAGCAGTTATGCTCTTGAGACTTTTAAGATGGGCAACAGTTATGCCCTTGAGAATCGTGGTGAAGAGCCACCACGATAAGTTTAAGATGTTAGGGGGATGAATCGTTATGACTTCCCTAACTAAGTTTAAGTTTAAGGAAAGCCTGAATGGCTTCTCATACATATGAGTTGGCAACCGGACTAGCTAGTGAGGGATCCCCGTGTCAGTCAAGGGTTTAAGTCAAGATTTGAGCTTTAAGAGAGGAGAGTAACTTCAACTCCCTCAAAGTTTAAGAGTTAAGATTTTAAGATAGGAAGTACAAACAACTTCCACTAGTCAAAGTTAAGTGTTTAAGTAAAGTACTCAAGTATTAGAATTATTAAAACGTAAGGGCGTAGACTGACCCCATCTCACTCACCAGTTTGACGAGCTAGAGAATGAGCTAGAGGAGTAGTTAGTGAGCAGCAAGTTCGAGGGCAGCCAGCTAGAGGAGGGCAGTGCAAGCGTCACGGAGGATGCCTAGTTAAGATTTTCAGTAGCAGCAGCGGCATAGACTACCTAGTTATGTACAGTTTATGATTATGAGTATAGACTGGAGATCAGTTTGAGATTTTAAAGTTTGAGCTTAATTTGCCCACGTGTTAGGGCTTTGCCTTGAACTACAAGTGTGTGTTTTCAATATTTTATTTATAAAAAAGTTTTCCTACTGCAATTTAAAATTTGAGTATTTTATTTATCAAGGGCATTTTAGTAAAAGTAGTACCCGGCCGGGTTAGGGTGTTACATTTAACACCCATTTTGAAATAAAAGTTCAACTTGAACACAAGTTAAATGTGCAAAAATTTTCCTTGACCCGCAACTCGATTAACCAAAAAGTTGAATACACCAAAATTTTCCTATTCTTTTAAAAACATCAAATTATCAAATACATTGCTTTAATTTATTTATATTTAATTGATAACTTTCTTGAATAGTTAAATTAACCAAAATTTTAAGTTATATATTATATTAATATTGTTCATTATCTCAACTATTAAGGTGATGACTGGTGTACGTCAGGCGTATACTATACAACAGGTGATCTGGCCATTAGATCTTCTTTTCTGAGCTCCGACCAATCTCAATGGTTAATTAATATTTTTTCATAAATTAAACTTCGGGTTTGGGTTTAATGAATCCGAGCCTAGGGTTTATTCATTAGAGGTTAGGGTATAGTATCAAATACATTGCTTTAATTTATTTATATTTAATTGATAATTTTCTTGAATAGTTAAATTAACCAAAATTTTAAGTTA